TATGAAGAAGAAGAAATGAGAAGAGAACTCTGGATGTTTCTCATTTCCCACGTTTATATCACCTTTAAAAGAAAGATAAAAAATCTTTCTGGTCAAATGACCATTTAACCCTTAACTTCTTTTAATAATTACTAAATAACCTTCATCATATATATTCAATAATCATTTAACTATTTCATTCTTATACTTTAGTCACCAAATTCTGAAACTTTACAATTTGGTCACTAACCCGGTATTGCGGATGTTACACTGTATACCAAACCATGGTAGGGGGCTTGTAGCCATACAGAGCCTAAAAAGGTGTTAGTTTTAAGGTATTATGGTAGGTAGAATTGTACCACCACTCAACATGTGGCAACAATTTAGCCCATTGCTTTGGTTGGTAAAAACAAAGCCCTCGGAGGTACTGTTCTAAGCACCGATTTACCCTTTCTGTTTGTCCATCCATTTTAGGATGGTAAGCAGTGCTAAAGAGGGTCTTAGTCCCTAAGAGCTTTATTAGTTCTCTCCAAAAGAGGCTGGTGAAGGTCTTGTCTCTGTCTGAAATGGCCATTTTAGGCTGGCCATGAAGCTTATATATGTGGTCCAAATACAATTTAGCCACCTCAGCTGCTGAGTAAGGGTGTGATAGATCTAAAAAGTGACTATATTTAGTAAACTTGTCAACCACCACAAGAATACAATTCTTCCTTAAAGATGTAGGCAAGCCTTCAAAAAAATCCATAGTGATAACTTCCCAAGCTTGTTGAAGAATAGGTAATGGCTGTAGCAGTCCTGGTTTAGCAACATGTTCCACCTTAGTTTGTTGACAGACGGCACAAATTTTAACATAATTGACCACCATAGCTTTAAGTCTAGGCCAATAGAAGTAAGATTTAATTCTCTGATAAGTTGCTTGACTTCCAGAATGACCCCCATGAGGTGAGTCATGTAATGTCTGAAGAATTTGTAGTCTAAGAGATCCAGCCTCCCCAATATAAACTCTATCCTTATATCTAAGGATTCCCTTTGAATATCTCCACTTATTATCAGCAGTAGAATGAACAGCCAATTTAGTGATCCACTCAGTAGCCAATAAATCTTCTTTATAACTAGCCTCCACCTCCTGCACCTAACTTGGAATAATTAGAGTTGTGCCCATGGCCAAACACTGTCCCTGATCCTCCCATTGTCTAGATAATGCATCTGCCACCACATTTGATTTCCCTTTTCTGTACTGTATAGTATAATCCAACCCCAAAAGCTTGGTCAATCCTCTCTTTTGAATTGTAGTGGTCAACTTCTGCTCCAAAAGATACTTTAGAGGTTCATGGTCAGTCTTAATGATAAAAGGATTACCCTTTAAGTAATGTCTCCATTTAGATATTGCTAATAGAATAGCTAAATATTCTCTTTCATAAATAGAGAGAGTATCATTTCTAGGACTAAGGGCCTTACTAAAAAATGCTATAGGTTTGCCATTTTGAGATAAAATAGCACCTATACCTCCTGAGCTTGCATCTGTCTCTAAGTAAAAATTCTGAGTAAAATCTGGAAGAGCCAAAACAAGAGCAGTAGACATGGCTTTTTTAAGATTTTCAAAAGCAGTCAAAGCTGCAGTAGTCCACTTAAAATTGTCTGCTTTAAACATTTGTGTTAGTGGCCTGCTTATAGCACCATAATCTTTAATAAATCTTCTATAATAGCCTGTTAATCCCAAAAATCCCCTCAAAGACTTCAAAGATTTAGGGAGAGGCCAATTCTTCATTGCTTCCACCTTACTGGATCAATAGCAACCCCTGCTGCTGAAATAATATGTCCCAAGTATTCTACTTGGGTTTGTCCAAAAAAACATTTAGAGAACTTTGCAAACAATTGATTAGCTTGTAACACCTCTAAAACTTGTTGTAAATGAGCAATATGAGCTGCCATAGAACTGCTGTAAACTAAGATGTCATCAAAAAACACCAACATAAATTTTCTAAGGAATGAACTAAATAGTTCATTCATTAATGCCTGAAAAGTAGCTGGGGCATTAGTAAGGCCAAAAGACATCACCTTAAATTCATAGTGGCCTTGATGAGTTCTGAATGCAGTTTTGTGAATATATGCATCCTTAATTCTGATTTGCCAATACCCTGATTTGAGGTCAATCTTTGAAAAATAAACAGCACCATGTAATTCATCTAATAAGTCCTCCACAACAGGAATAGGAAATTTATACTTAATAGTCATGTTGTTTAGTTGCCTGTAATCCACACAGAACCTCCAAGAGCCATCTTTCTTCTTAATTAGGAGGCATGGAGAAGCAAATGGACTTTTACTAGGCTGAATAATAGAAGAAGATAACATAGTAGCAATCTGTCTTTCCACCTCAGCCTTCTGGTTGTGTGGAAATCTGTAGGGCCTGAGATTGACAGGAATTGAATCAGGTTTAAGGGAAATACCATGGTCATGGTTTCTTACTGGTGGAAGACCTCTTGGCTCCTCAAAAATATCCTTGTAGCTTTCTAGGAGAGACTGAATGGCTGCAGGAATAGGTTTAGAGGCTTCTGTCATAGAGAATAATACAATATGTCCCAAAATAACAGAATCTGAAACTGTCATTTTCAATAAAGAAGCTCCTAAAATTTGCTGCAAAAAATGAAGATGGTTGTTGACCCTGTATAACAATTTGTCCATCTTGGTGAACAAAACTGAGTGTCATTTTGTTGAAGTCCATCAAGATTGGACTAAATAATTTCATCCAATCTACTCCCAATACCATATCACTCCCTCCCAACTGTAAAAGTCTGAAATCATGAACAAAAGAGTGTCATTGCATTTGCCATTCAACTCTATTACACCTTGCTGTACTATATAGTTGTTGACCATTAGCTACTGTAATAGCCAAAGGATAAGGTGTATTTACCTGTATACCAGCCTCAGCCCACTGTGGCGTTAAAAAACTGTGAGTACTACCACTGTCAATTAGAATATTCAATGGTTTGCCTAGGATACTGCCCTGAATTCTTAAGGTGTTATGACCAATACACCCAGTGATAACATTCATAGATATTTCTAGGCTCTCTTCCTCTTGTATAACTTGCTGTTATGAATCAGTAGGTAGAATATCTGAAGGCAGAATAATATCATCTTCAATCATCATGTTCAGTTGTTTTGTTTTACATTGATGGCCTGGAACAAATTTCTCACCACATTTAAAGCACAAATTGTTTTGTCTTCTGTACTCCATTAAATTCTGTTTTGGTGGCAAAGTGGTTGAATTCTTTTGTGGAATTGGTAACTGAGTTGGCTTAGAAACAGGTAGGGAATTTAGGTAGGGTGGGTTTCTAAAAACTGGCCTCATTCTCTTGTTTTCAAATTCAACAGACAATTCATACAGTTTAGCTTGCCTGCATGCTTCAGATAGTGTCTTAGGGTCTAGTGCCTTGACTCTATGTTTAATATCATCCCTTAGTCCAATAATAAACAGAGGGACAAAGAATTCCTCACCTAGTGTAGGATTCTGTAAAAGCATATGAGGTTGTAGTTCTTCAAATCTATCCTGATACTCCTTCACAAACCCTTTCTGTACCAGCTTAGTAAACTCTTCCACTATATCAGCAAAGACCTTATCACAGAACCTATGACATAGGTCTGCCTCAAACTCATGCCATGTAACATGATGTTTTTGCATTATGTAGCCATCAAACCAAATTTCTGCTTTACCTGTTAAGTACATTGTAGCTACTTCTACTCTTTGTTCCTCAGCAATACTACATAATGAGAAGTATTTAAGGCATTTATGTATCCAACCTCTGGGATTACTACCTTCAAAAAAAGGTAACTCGATTTTAGGCCTGTGCAACATAATCCCTGAAGTATTACAAGACCCCCCTGTGCCTCTTCTATCCATATCTAAACCCACTGTATTGTTCTTAACAACACTATTCTCCCCCACTTGAATACCATTTTTGAAGCTGGTTATATGAGTAGGCAACTCATTTGGCTTAGATTTTAGAATTCCAGGCTCATCAGGTTTATAAGTAAACCTATTTTTGTCATTAACCACTGTAACCTGTACAACATGCTTCGAACTCATGTTAGATGAATTAGGGGTCTGTACCTATTCCTCATCAGGTTGATTTTGATCTCCTTTCCGGTCAGTCAAAATCCTCAAAAGCTCTTCTACGTACCCTTGATTTGTAGCCATTCTAGACTCCACAGCAATGATACGCTCCTCTTGATTCTCCCACCATTTAGGAATCTTGGTTTCATCATGAGATTGCTTGACCAAAGCAGTCAAATCTTCCAATTGTTTCTGTAGTGCTGCAAACTCTGATGATTCAGTCATGGTCTGGTTTTTCTTTGTCATTACAACATCAATAGCCAGGAAAAATCAGGCTCTCGATACCAATTTGTTATGAATGGGGTAAAAGAAGAAATAATCGAAGGAATAGGGTTTTTAGAAGCAGAAAGACAAGATTACAGAAAACGTTCTCATTCATTCATTTCATAACTCCTCTTTCTGTTTACATTGCCTTTATTTACATACAATCATAATAGATTCTGTTATGCCAGCTGGACCACTCTCTAACCAATTCTGTTATCATAACAAGAATTGGGCTGCTGCTGGGCTTCCTTTGCTCCACCTGTATCTGCTGGACCAGTCTGCTGAATCTGCTGGGTAATTACTTTAATTCCCCCGTGCTCCTCACGTGCCCTGCTCTCAGGTAATTACTTCCCAATTCTATCTCAATCCCTAACCCTTGATTATTCATTTCCCCCAATTCTCCTTCGATACTCATCTCTCGTCCTCCTTCTTCTCCCTCTCGTCTTCCCTCTCCCACCGTGACACAGAGCTAGTGTTTGAAGAGCCCCCAAGCAAAACGCTGCGAATCCGAGCTTCCTATGGAGTCCATAAGTCACTCCTGGTGAATTTTTACCCATCCTGATCCCTATTGCAAACCCCACAGTTCCGAGGAAAAATGCCGATAACTGGATCCCCAAATGGACGTAAAACCACGTAGGTCCTAGTGCTATTTGTGGCGTAAGTATCGTGCAGTGACGGCTCCCATAGGGAGTAATATGCCCCAGGAGATGGCGTTAAGGATTCCGTGGACGAGTTTCATCATATCCATGTTGTTGTGCTGTTTAGCGGCTGAACCGGACAAGACGTCGAACGTAGTTTTTGAGGAAAGTTCGTTCGATGTCGTGGGATGGATGGTTGGGGAGTAGCCTTGGACATACAATCCTCTGTTCCAAACATGGTGAATTTTGGTATTGTTCGGTACGAGTTTCACCGTGGCACCATTGTGTATAGTAGCCATCTTGCCGCCGTACAAAGTAGCCGAAGAAATCAAGTGGATGTCGAGCAGTCGAGAGAGGAGCAGAGATTTCTGGAGTTTCACAGACGGGTCTAGAATGTAAGGCAGAAGTACTAACTGCCCAGAATTAGGATCCAGAAATGCGACAAGGGCACACGTACCGGTCATTTCCGGGGACATGGGATTGATACCCTACCCGACCCAACCGGAAGGCAAAATGAAAGTGCCGAAGAAACAAAGGTCTAACGTAGCATTGTGGGGATGGAATGTCCAAGCAATGGAGGCTTGTTGTGTGGGGAGTGTCATGCATTTTTGGAAAGTCTCGGTGGCGGTGGCGGTGCTGCAATGAGCTGAAAATGCAGTGTTTAGATGGGAAATGAAAAGGAAAAGGAACAAGACAAAGATCATGGTTGTGGAATTGGACAGGGCTGAGTGTCGGAAGGAAGCTTTGGTTTCAACATTTATGAGATTGGTCTGTAATGATTGTGGAACTGCTTAGCTTTGGAGTAAAGACTCCGTTTAAATTGATTTCAATATCTTCATCTATTTATCAAAACAATTACCTTAATTAATTAAGTTGACAAGATACTTGGTTGAAAATTGTTTCTCCTTGGCTTTGAAGCTAAGCTATAGAGATTAGAATGTGAATGATTAGAGCATCCTCTCCCCTTTATAAAATGGTAGAAGCATCCCTTTCATGATTGTGGATTAATCATTACTCCAAGTAAATTATACAACATTCCATTTGTCGTGTCTGAAAATTTCACCAAGAACCATCCAGGTAAAAGTTTTTTGGCGTGTCTGAAAATTTCAGAAACTTACAATTTCAATAAACAAAACATGTTTCTTTCAGATTCGTACCTAAGATGACAGGAAATTGACGAGTCCGAGTGACTCAACGTGCTGACCCGACAACGGATGAACCTGAGGAATGTTGTCCGAAACCGTACTCCCACCTTGCCACACATGGTTGAAACTCGTCTGATTCCCCAACGGGCCCAGCATACCAAATACGATCATCTGTTTGTCGGCATACTCGGCCGAGATGTCGGAAACCGGTAGCTTGTGACTGAAGTCGAGTAAGCGATCATACTGCCATTACTGTGGCGGAAAGCAAGCAGGGCTTGAGAACCGATCATGCCTCTTCCCGTTGGGTTGAGCGATCTGAACCTTTGTGGTGAGTTGGCTGTAGTTCCAGTGTAATGATGCTTGAAGAACTGGGAGATCCATGCAGGAATCGAAGACTTGGTTGCTTGGGAATGAGTAGTTGGAGCAAGTTTCAGCTTTGGAAATGGAAACCAGAGATGTCAAACTGCAGAGCAGCAGGATTATAGCAGAGGTTTTAGCCATGGCCATATGGTTGAATACTAGGGTTTCAACGAAACCATCCACATATTTTCTTACGTAGCACCAATTCGGACAAAACTCCACAAAAGTGCGACTGATGATTTACACTTTATTGGCACCATATCAAAATGAATGCTAAATCAATAATGTTAGAGAAAATAATGCCTAACAAATAATTATTAGATCTAAAGATGATAATTCGATAAAAAGGGCCAAAATTAATAGCATGAGAATTTTTATGCAATAATTATCCCGAGAAAAGAAAAGCGATTTTCTGCGTTTGCCACAACCGGTCACACTCATTTGTCACTTGACAAGTGTTACTAAAATTATAAAGATACTTTACCATTATGAGTGGAAAGTGTTAGGCAAACAGAACATGCCAATTGCCCACCCTTCACAAATCGCCAATACAATCCATTTATCTAATCTCACCAGCACTCTCCACCGAGACTAAACCAAAACCCACCGTGAAAGTTGCCTTCTTTGCAATGGAAGCAGCCACTGCAACCGCTTCATCTCTGCAGCTTTCCTCAGCCGCTACTTGTGGAAGTTTACGAACCAGTGATTTCTTGTTTTTGGGTGTCTCGAAACCTCCTTCATTTCTCAATCCAAAACTAAAAGCTTCTGTTACCATCAGGTGAGTAGAAAGCTCTAAGTAGGTGGTGGGTACTTTTTTTTTCTTTTAAAACAATGAAAATATTGTAAGTGAAGTTTTGAGTGAAAATGGGTTGGTTTTGTATTTGTTTTGTTGATCGTATTTTTGGTTAAATTTTTGCAGATGTCAATCTACGAGTACAAACGAACCAAAAGCTAAAAGGAGTCTTTTGGATAATGCAAGCAACCTTCTTACCAATTTCTTAAGTGGAGGAAGTCTAGGTTCTATGCCTGTAGCTGAAGGTGCTGTTTCTGATTTGTTTGGTCGGCCTCTTTTCTTCTCTTTGTACGATTGGTTTATAGAGGTACTTAAGTTGAACTACTAGTCTACTACCCTTTTGTTTTTGTCTCTTGAAGTGTTTAATATTGGTACTATTAATAGTTTCTGATACTGTCTTGAGCTTATGGTGCTTTAATCACCTCTGCTTCTCCTGGTTCTGCCCCATTGCACGCATCTTCTAATATTTTAGATGATAGGAAGTTGGTAGAGCTTTAATTGAACTTGTGAGTTACCGACATTTGTTCTTTAGTACACCTGATGCCATATTGGAATTTGACTTCAAAGGTTACTTGTAGTATCCCATAGCTAAAGTGGCAAGTTGAATTCATGCATTTTCTTGTATCATACTCATAATCGTGTTTAAGTTATTTATTTTTATACAGCACTCGATAAGTTAATAATTTGTATTGTTTGTATAGTAGTAGTACCGCGTCATGTTCATACTAGCATTCCCAGATCTACCATAAGCCTGCTTCCTAATATTTGGACTTTAGACTGATGGAAAGTTTCAAGTCTTAAATGTTGGATCGTCTGAAAATTTGAGTTGCTAAATCATATTTGAATCATAACAGTGATTAAGCTATGGAACCTTGTGGCTCAGTTTTGTTTTCCATATAAGATGAGCTATATTCTTTAGATGCTTAGCATTATTTGTGATCTGAGGCTCCTGATTTTTTTTACCTTTTCCACCCTTTTATTTGTTATATTAATTGATGGTGCAGCATGGCTCAGTGTATAAACTTGCTTTCGGACCAAAAGCTTTTGTCGTTGTATCAGACCCTATTGTTGCTAGGCATATTCTTCGAGAAAATGCATTTTCCTTTGACAAGGTATCAATTTTTACATCTTTAATTAATCTCCCCGCCCTTCAAAAACTTTGTTTGGTTTTTCTGTCATAAAAAAAAAACTTTATTTGTTGTTTCTTCTGACCTTAACCGTATTATGTTAAGACAACATCTTTGTATTGTTAAATTTTTATCTAATACATTTTTACATGCTAACCTGGTGTACAAATTTCAATTCCTTTATGTTTCATGTTTACATATATGCATCGAAAGACTTAAGTTCCATTTCCTTATTCTACAATTGATTATTAACTGTGATTTTTACATGCAGACTAATAAAAGGAAATTTGTAGTTCTGTACCTAAATGAGCCACATTTTCCTCTTGAATACTGTTCCATACTCTTTGACATTGAAAGATAAATAAATATAATCAACGAGGTCTCTAGTAATCAAAGAAAATGAGCCAAGCAATTGCTTAGCGAGAAAATGTTGCATTTGATTGCACTGTCATTCACTCTAGAATTTAGGGTCCTTCATTTTAATATTTTTTCTTTCTTTCTGGATTAAAATTTTGAATCCATGTAACAAAAATTTAATTTCTGATTAGGGAGTTCTTGCTGATATACTAGAACCGATTATGGGGAAAGGACTTATACCTGCTGATCTTGACACATGGAAACAAAGGAGAAGAGGTATGAATTCTATGTTATCTAATGTTGAAGTTTTATCTGTGTATAATGGGAGCAAGAGGCAGTTCTTTTGTTCTCAGACTGATAAGCATCTGAAGCATGGTGGGTGGGTGTTTTTTAAATTTCTTTTATTTTGAGCAATTGCTTGTGATCTTGAAACTTTATAGTCAGTTGCTCAAGTTTGGCGAACTTAAATAAAAAAGCCAAGACTTGCTCTTTTCAGACAGACTCAGTAACACAGACTTGATTGGATCAGAATATAAATATAAACATACGCACGCTCATATACATGATTGCATATATATTGCAATTTTGTCACATTTATAATTAACTTCAAGTTCCAGATTCAACAATTTCTAAAGGATTCTGAGAGAGTTAAATAGAGTGGTGGTTATAATATCGGAACGGTGATTATCGGCGAATAAATAAACAAGATTGAAAAAGAAAAACAAAGAACATCAGAATTTACGTGGAAAACCCAAAAGGAAAAAACCACGGGCAGAGGAGAAGAATTTTACTAATGTGAATGAAGAAAATACAAGAGGATTTTAGTGAAAGAAAATAACTTGATATCTAACACTGACTCATAATATCTATTTATAGGGATAAATACTTGATTACAAAGTAAAATTAAATAAAGTAAATATCTACTTTAATAAAGTTTCTTACTTACCTAATATTTATATATTAATTAATTTGTGTCACTTTGAATTCAAGTTAAACTCTAACAGTGATATTAGAGTTTCACATCTGGCATATACATCTTAACTAGAGAGAGAGAAAGATAAGGTCGATGAACATGACATCCATTTGAGGAGACTAATCTGAGAGCATTTTTTCTATTGTCGACACCTAATATTTGCACCTAGTAAACTTGAGAGAAATATAGAATTCCATTTTTACTCTTAACTACTGTAGTTTCTGGAGATATTCATGGCTTTCTAAATTTATTATTATTGTTTTTATTGAGGTAGAAAAATAATTCTCACTGGTAATGTTTAATTTGATTAAAAAACGTGCAGTTATTGCTCCTGGGTTCCATGCACTGTACTTGGAAGCTATGGTCAAAGTTTTCAGTGATTGTTCAGAACGAACAACAGCAAAATTTGAAAAGTTTTTAGACGGAGAACATTCACGCGGAGGAGATGCAATTGAGCTAGACCTTGAAGCAGAGTTTTCAAGCTTGGCTCTGGATATTATTGGACTGGGTGTCTTCAACTATGACTTTGGTTCGGTTACAAAAGAGTCTCCTGTTATTAAGGTCCGACAATACTAACCCTTGCAGAGCACCTCAGCATGGTACTAAGTACTAACGGCTTACCAGTAGCCACGTAAAGTAATAAACACTAACACATGAAATTAAAATGTTTTCTATAAAATTTGTCACATTTATACTTTATACCGTTGGCAATCTTATTAGCTATATCCCTTGCTACTTTGCTAGACGACTACACCTGTGTGATACCTGTTCCTGCAACTCAATTAAAATAGACTCGAAGAACTATGTGTCCATCCATTCTAATCATCACAAGTTGCTCAAATCTAGCTGCTTACTCAACCCTCTCCAAGCATGAAAGAAGCTTATCCTGCAAATTTCGCATCATAATCTGATGGGCAAATTTGAGATTTTCTTGTTACCATCCTTTCATGTGTGCATTACGACTTATAGTGTATACATTAAGTCCTTCAAGTACTTTTTCTTTCACACATCCATAAGAGACCTGAGAAAGTATTTTGATGGCATAGCTGGGCATACAGTCCCTGGATGTTGGTTGCATTGTGGACTGACTACTGAGGTGCTAACAGGAGGACCAGGAAACTACTAACGGGTTTGGACTGACGTATTGAGACAACAATGACGAAATTAATGTCCAATTTTTTACCAGTGCTTTGATAAACAGAAGTTTGCAGCAAAATAATCTGCAATGTTTACTAATTCTATATCTAGGTATTTAGTTTAAACTGTTACTATAACCTCCACTATCCAGGTTACATTGCATGATATCATTACAGTTTAAGCCACATTTACACTCTATTTTCTTACTCACCTTTTGTAAAATATGTTGCAGGCAGTGTATGGTACACTTTTTGAAGCTGAGCATAGATCCACTTTCTACATCCCATACTGGAAAATTCCTCTGGCAAGGTGGGTGGTACCCAGACAACGGAAATTTCACTGTGACCTTAAGATCATAAATGACTGTCTAGATGGACTCATCAAAAATGCAAAAGATAGCAGACAGGTTTGCATTTGATCCATAAATAGTAAGTTGTTTCATTTATTAGAATCATAACAGCTCATGCTTTAGTTCTTCTAGAATAATTACTCAAATTTTAACTGAAGCTGGTTGAGATTCAAAACATGAAATGTCCATCATACTAAGCAAAAAATCATGCGTATCTCTACAGTGAATATTAAATTTGAAAAGTAACCTTAAGCTACTTTGTTTCATGTAATTTATCTAACACCAATTAGTCCCAAAGAATATGTCTCATTTATTAGAAAGAAAGTATAGCATGGAGTAACCTCCAAGTCCCACCTGAAAAGGCTAATCAGGTACAATAAATTTAAGATTTATGGCTGAACCATGGCTTTTAAGGTTATTGGCCTTCTTTTGGCCTTTTACATAGCAGTTCAGCACTGATGAATTGATGAAGATTTAGTTCCACTCAAGAATCAAGACACTCTGGTCTCACAGGAATGATCCTAGTTAACCTGCATAAAAAAGATCCATGGCTTCGAGAAGTGGAATATGTTATAAATTGTTTTCGTAAGTTGTTGTCTCAATTGAAGCCAATACTGCAACATTTGGGTACACTTCTAATATATCTTGTAGAATGCAGTTTTTGCTTTTGCTAATTAGATTGGTAGAAATCTACAAGAGTTCTTGTAGCATGCCCGATATAAACTAACTATTTAGTATTACTCATGTTTGATGACAGGAAGCGGATGTTGAAAAACTGCAGCAAAGGGATTACTCGAATATTAAGGTGCAGTTAAATCATCATAGAAGTGCTTTCAGCTAAATGTTTCCTGTTTCTTCTATTGTTGGGCGGTGATATGTTTTAGGGAGCATTTAGAAATTTAGATATCATATCCTTATGGCTTCAGGATGCTAGTCTTTTGCGGTTTTTGGTGGACATGAGGGGAGCAGATGTTGATGATCTCCAGGTAAAAAATTATCTTCCGCTGATTTGTGTTTAGAAGAATAGGATTAACTCAATATAATATGGATTCTCTTCTTGTTGATGTTATTATAGTTTATCGGAAAAGTTGTCTTACGTCCACAGTTCTCCCTCGGTCTCTTCTTGGTGTGTCTCCTTTCACGGGTTTATGAAACCACCTCCTAGTGTTTCCTGCTACTTTAGGAAGCACAAATACCTGTTCTCATTCATTGTAGGGTTAGAAACACTTTTTGGCTGGTTCTACCTGTCCGTAGATGATAATTCTTTTGATATTTTTATCTGCTAAACTGGTATTCTTCATTAAACTATATTCAACCTTGTGGCTTTTTTTAACAGCTGAGAGATGATCTAATGACTATGCTTATTGCTGGCCACGAAACAACAGCAGCTGTTCTTACGTGGGCTGTTTTCCTTCTTGCACAAGTATGATCCCTACTACTAACTTTTGGAGCAGCGTTCCTTTTGTTATGCCGCTTTTATATGTGTGTGTGCCACACAACTTTTGTGTCATATTGATGTGTGTTATTTTGGTGAAAATGCAGAACCCGTCTAAAATAAAAAAAGCCCAAGCAGAGGTCGATTCGGTTCTGGGCCAGGGGAGACCAACTCTTGAATCAATTAAAAAGTTAGAGTAGGTCTCCAAGATTACTCTGATGAAAACTTCCTGCCGCTTTATGTTATAATTAGCTTCTATAAGTTTTCTGTTCATGCTGAAACAGGGGGTAACACATGCTAATGGAAATGGACAATTATTATTAAACTACTATTATGCACAATTTTAAAATTATACTTTTCAATCCCCCTCCCTCCATTGATGTCCAAAGTTGAGTAAGTTTCAATAAATGTTAACAAAAAACCATTCAGTCCAAAGTTCACACTTATTTAAATTGTTCTATTATTGTATTCATGTGGTTATTACAGTCATGGAATATGTGAACTTATTATTATATCGAAAATTTATTTCGTATCACTAGAAGACAGCCTTTCATTTCCATGTGATCTGATTACAGGTATATCAGTCTTTTGACAGTATAATGACATTCTGGATTCTGCTCTTCCCTTTTAGGTACATAAGACTTATTGCCGTAGAGGCTCTTCGTTTATATCCTCAACCTCCACTGCTTATCAGACGGGCTCTTGAAGAAGCTGTGTTGCCAGGTATATCTCATTTAGACTCTCTCTCTCACGGGGTTCAAACACTTGGGTTTGGTTTTAACAAACATCAGTATGTTGGAGATTGATGTTTTCTTTGGAGCCGATATATTTCACATGTTCGGTTAATGCTTATATTACAAATAGGGTAATATATTTGTCAGTAAATAAAAAACTGATGTTATCGGCATATAGTTCATTTATGGAGGATAAGATGATTCTAAGAGTGAACGTTTCCGGATTAAAAAACTAAAATGAAGAAATGGGAAGAGCAATAAAAGTGTTGGAAACAACTGAGTTAACAATCATATGTGATCATATGAGGAAGAGAACAGGGTGTTTTAGGGAGACTAAGATGAAGCGCAGGGAATTTAAATGATGTAACTGTAAAAAAGAACCAAATCATCCTCCATTGGCATTTGGTGCAACATAAATCAGTGGTTGTCAAAATAAGTGCACGCGAGAACGAAATTTGCTATAATTTTGGCTTAAAAGCCGAGCTTTTTTATTGACAGGAGGTTACAAAGGTGACAAAGATGGCTACACCATTCCTGCTGGGACCGACATCTTCATATCTGTGAGTTAATCCGGTGTTTGCTTCTTCATAAACCCTTGAAAGTTTCTTGTTTCGAGTCCCATCTGTTTTCGTTGATATCATTTTGGAAATACAATTCTTTCAGGTATATAATCTCCATAGATCTCCATACTTTTGGGACAAGCCCCATGAATTTGTTCCGGAGAGGTTTCTAGAACAAAAGGAGAGTGGAGGCATCGAAGGATGGGCTGGTTTTGATCCATCTCGAAGCCCCGGAGCATTATACCCTAATGAGGTTTATCATCATAAGCTCAATGTTCTAATCAAACCACACCGTGCTCAAATTCATGTTTCTTATATGCAAGTTTGTTGTTATTTTCAACTATCAGATTATATCAGATTTTGCTTTCTTACCCTTCGGTGGGGGACCGAGGAAGTGCGTCGGAGATCAATTTGCACTCATGGAATCAACCGTGGCATTGGCTGTGTTGCTGCAAAAGTTTGATGTGGAACTGAAAGGATCCCCTGAATCTGTGGAGTTGGTTACAGGAGCAACAATGCACACCAAGAATGGATTATGGTGCAAGCTAAAGAAGAGGTCTAATGGCAATTGACTTTCACCAAGAATTTGAGCTTCTGTACCATTGTACCTAACTAGTGGAAAGAGTATAAACATTATTTCGAACTTTCTGAAAAAGGAAAGGTAAATCATGGGTTTGCTCTAATATTAAATTATAAATATTTGAATGAAAATTTATAAAAATATTTTAATTGTTACACTATCCAAGTTTAAAGAAAAAATATATATAACAAATAATTAATATAATTAGTATATCAAACTTATATTTTTAAATAATTTTCATGATATGATATTTATTTATATAAAATATGGTATAATATACTATAAAAAATAATATTGTGATATCAAGTGGACAAATATATTATTTTTCAATGTATAAGATCTACTTTTAATAACTCAAAATTAAATATTATTTTAATTAATTATATTTTTTACAACACCTCATAAAATTATAAAATGATTAATATGCAAATATTAAAAATATGAAATAATTTTAACTACTTAAATTTATTAATATTTCACTAAATTAAACTTTTTGTATATTATAATTATTAAGTTTAAAATTTTGAGTAAAACACGAAGAATAAGAATTGAGAATGATCCATATGAAAAGAATTCATTATTTCAATGGTATTTGTATCCAAAATGATGAGAATTATTCATTACCAATTTGGAAGTAACGACATTCCCACTATTTTAACAAAAAAATATTACTATTAGTAGTAAATTATTAGCTGGTAATGATCTTTTCCACGAACCAAACGTAGAAATACAATTCCGGAAAAGATTATTCCCCTTGACAATGATCTTTTCTGCGAACCAAACATCCTAACTGGAAAAAAGGAAGGTTGTATTATTGACCTGTAGATGTTGGCAACCCTAAAAGAATAAACTCTAACTTATCCTGCCGATCCAATGATGTGTTGAAAATTGTTTATATCGACTTCTTCATCGTATAAATGTATAGAAATGCTATTATTGCAACTATTATAGGTGCTTATCATGAAGATGCTTTGATGAAATGCCATGAAATTGAGTCGAGTCCAGGGACTGATCCTGCAATCAGAGTAATGAATTCATAATAAAGGCATGCATCATTATTGACCGAACTGATTATAACTTTTGTCCCTATAAGGAACATACCTCACCCTGCATGGCCGGGGATCTAAAGGGAAGATGAGCCTGCAACAATGTTCCGGGGGAGGTTGCTTCAGATTCCAAATCACTTGATATTTAAAACGAAATATTTTCATTAAACAAAAGCCTGAAAAGAAAAGAAGGCAGTTATCTCCAGCAAGTTCAGTACCAGTGTCTGCAAACTCTGTTGGTTCCCATAGTGATTATCACGGGCTGGTAGTGAATGTAGCTGTCCCTAAAAATAGTTAATAGATTGAAAAGGCATATAATTAGAGCAATATAATGCTTTCAAAACATTCTGCAGGAAAATCTTAACAGTCCTGACATACCAGGCCTGATAAGTTTTGTTGATTGTTATAATAACCACCGCGAAATGGACAGATTGAGTTCAACTGTTCCTGCAGGAAGTACAAACCTGGTAAGGCTATCTTATAATCATGATAAACTTGGCTAGAAACCTTATTGTCTACAATTCGAAGGTAGAAAATGAATGTTATAATATAACGTGATGTTAAGAGACTCCAATACCGGTCCTTGAATATTCTGTTGAGCACCATAGTAACCATCAAGAGTTGGGGCTCTAACGCTTACATCCTACAAAATTCATATCAAATACCAAACATATATTCATATGGTTAGCCAGCTTCATTATAACAAACCACTGTGTTTGGGTGAAGGACATTGCATACCATCCCATGCATGTCCTGCTGGGAAACAGAACAACCATCTAGTATATTTGCTCTTGAGCTTATCTGTTACAAAAAAACCAAAAATGATAATGTCAATGTCATTTCTTATATTCAGTCAAAATATGTAAGACAACAAACCATCTGCTGGCAGCTGTCTTGTTCCATAGTTATTCCTTCCAACTCAAACTGAACCTACAGTAGAAAAATGATCATTTCAAAAACCCTATAATATTGCCCAAGTACAGTTTAAGAATCTGCATGTCAAACATTGAGCCTAAACAGACCTTTCTCTTTTTGTATGCTTTCTTCTTCTTAGACGACTTGGTTGTAGCATTCCAATGATTCTCTACTTCAGTCTCAAGAAAACCGTGAACCGGTAGTGTTCTTGCCTCAGAAACACTTTTTCCAGAGTTGTTCACACCCGCACAATATTTCAAGGCTTCTTCCAATGCTTGTAGCGCAATACTATATGCTTCTTCAGTTAAAGAACCTTCTTCACCCAATTCGATGGCCCGCTTGCATAGATCATTGAATCGTTGCACACGATAATGAAGCCTGTTTGATTTTTCACCTAGATTTTGCCTAATCTTCGCCTCTTTGGTCCAACGTTTTAATATATAGTGGCATGGAATATCAGAAACACCAGACATCTGAAGAACAAGGAGGGAATGCTTACAAAGGAAACCTTTGTATTCAAATGAGCGGCATAAACAGCATATATCAAATTTTCTTTTGCTCCAAACTACAAGGAATTTTGGCGTTCTTCAAAATCATCAACTCGAAAGAAAACTGTGTCCTCATCTTCACTTTCCTTCTGTAGGACACCATTCCCAAAATCTCAGCTTGAAATTTCTTGAACACTGTATCTGTAAAAATCATGGACATTTGCTTCTCAAAAGCTGAGGCAGATCTCAATAAAGGTTGCTTATTTTGTATTTCAAAATCAGCTTTGGCTTCCATTTCATACAACTCTAGTGAGAATGATTTAATTAGCTGCCCAATGAACTCACTGAATGTAGCTGCTTTATGAATGAACTTGTCAAAGAAAGATGCAACACTTTCAGACCGCTCAATCGTAGATATTCCAGCTAAAAATACATGCCGCATATAAATAGGAGCCCACATTTCCCGATCATTATACAATGAAAGAACCCATTCATGTTCCTTCAGCTCAAACTTGTCGACCATCCTACACCATCTCTCTTCAAACTGTTCATGTGTCCAAGACCTATATATGCATTTATTGAACTTTTTCATGAAATTCTCATTCTGATCCACAATACAATCTGAATTCTCAGGAAACTTACTCAGTACATGCCACAAACAGAAACAATGGCGAGAGTTGGAAAACACATCAGAAACAGCTCCATTCAAAACTCTGTCTTGATCAGTAAGTACCACTTTAGGAGCTTTCCCACCCATTGCTTTAAGCCAAGAACGCATTAACCAAACAAAAGCTGATGTAGTACTCTCCCCAATCAGAGCACATCCAAGCAACATGTACTGGAAGTGATGATTTACTCCAATAATAGGAATGTAAGAAATCTTGTATTTGTTTCTAACAAAAAAGGTATCAAAAAATACCACATCACCAAAGTGACTGTAATTATGTCTACCTCTTGCATCAACCCAGAACACACTCCTTACACATTTTTCGTTATCAAAATCCATTGCATAAAAGGAATCTGGATTCTCATCCTTCATACACATAAAAAAATTAAGCATCAGTTCTACATCTTTCTCATCTAGAACCAGCTGCAGGCCTTTTTTTTCGCATGCCACTGCATCAGGCTGTTTGTTCCTTCCCCTGATAGCATAGTAAAAATCATCAGGACAAATTTCATGGTCATGCTCTTCCACAAAACTATGGATTATCCATTTTTCATCTTGCCTCCTCTTCATATGCATGCGTGCTTTGCAACCAGTCTTTGGACATGACCGAGGATTGAAAGTTGTGTTAGATTCACGCTTGCTTCCAAATCTAGAACATGCAACTTTTACATCAATAAAATTTCCAGATCTTTTTGAACGACGACTAGAAACCATTGTGATTCCAAATCCCACAGATCTAGCATACTCTCGGTAAAAAGAATTTAGTCAACAACCGAAAATGTTAGTCAAAGGACCATAATGAATTTATTTTCTAAATTGAAGGGTAACTTTGAGAGAAAATAATACGAAGACCACATTGATTTTTTTTTAAAAGTATAGGTGATTAGGGTGTCTTTTTGCCATTTATTTTTTTCTTTCAAATAAAAGTATGTACGTGAATAACTATTCTAAGGTTGTAAAAAAAACTATTCTAAGGGTTAAATTATACATCCACAAATTAAATGATCTCAATAATTAAAAAGATGATTGTTGTTTCTAGGAGTTATGGGTTCGAGCACTAATGATTGTAAAATGTTTAAGCACTTATTATCAAATGATTGAGTTGTTCGCAATTACTTTAGATTAGTAAAAAAAGGAGTTAAATTAATTACACCCTTATAAATAAATTAAATTGAATATCCTAATTTCATCTCTAAATTATCATTTTTATTTTGAATTGATTCTCAAACTTTGAACATTTAAATTTTACACCCAGATTATATACTCATTCTATATGATCCTTAAACTTTTAAATCTTCCAATCTCATCCTCAATTTCAACTATAATTTAACCTAAATTAAATGATTTCCAGATATATAACAATATAATTTGATCTAACAATTTTATCTATATCAATAGTTTGAGATAAAAGTGAAATATTTAAAAGTTTAAAAACCAATACAAAAATCACAATTTAAGGATAAAATTGAAACATTCAAAAGTATAAAGACCAGTTTAAAATGAGAGATATAATTTAAGGATATAGTAGAGCATTCAAAAGTTCAAAAACCAATTTAAAACAAAGGATACATTTTATTGATGTGTGATGTAATTAAGTTTGACTGGTTTTAATTGATAAAAAAGTTAAATTGGGTATCGTTGAGAATCACAAACGAAAAAGAAATATTATTCGTCCAACTGCCCGTCACTGATTTATAACCATAATGAACTTAAATAGCCACTCACTGATTTATAGCCATAATGAACTTATATCGGCGCCTGCATCAAACAGATGAATTATGCCATCTAAACCTACCGATAGTTGGATTGCAGAGATTTTAGCATTTAATTTTTCTTTTTTGGAAATGGCAAACCAGATTCTTTCAATTTCCCGGAGATTATCTATGGGATTTTCCACTCAAGATTCTTCATCTGGCAAGCAACAGTAGAGAAAAACGCACATAAACATGGACTAACAAAACCCGAATACATCATACCCTGAAAACCAGAAACATAGAAACACTATCCCTGTACAGACCTTGCTTCTCTGTGGTCATTGTGTAACAAGTGCATAGTGTCCCCTGGATAGATCGTTATGTTGTTTAACGATCTACTGTGCCTTTGCACAGCCTCTCCTCACAATCAGCTCACTGCTGTTGGAGGAAAATAACCATTCTATGCACAACACTATGAAAGCAGGCTAATAGCCCAACTCCACTACCTAAAGCTTACGAATTCAAACAGCACCACATGTTGCACACTACGGTTGCTGTTGGAGGAAAATAACCATTCTATGCACACTACATGAGCACCCTAGAAGAAGAAACCAGCTAATAGTTACACTACTTCACCCGATGATGAAGATTATGATTCCGATTTAAATAAACCCACCACAACTACCTAAAGCTTCCGAAATTCAAACACAAACACTATATACAGCAGACTTAGGTTTCTATTCCCGGGACAATCATTCTAGGAGCAAACCATATATGACAAAAGCAGCTAATAGTTACACTACCCTACCCACTGATGCAGATTATGAATTTGATAAGCTCAACTTCGCATCAAGCTTCTAAAATTCAAACAAAAGCACTTGTTGCAAATCTCAAAACCAAGAATGTAATACATTGTATAATACCTATACTCAAAGCTTGCTCTCTCGATCAATGAAGATCAAGAAAAACCACATCTAAGCAGACTCACAATGCAATAGGAACAACAAATGTCTCTGAAAATGAAGATTACCCATCTGACGGGTTAGCAAAACATTGCCATTTTGGGTTCAAAATCCATCAATAAATCAGTGACAACGATACTGTCAAACATTAAAAGATTCAATTCTCAGCTATCATCGATCTACAGATCCACGGTAAAACAAAATGAAAATCATAAAAGACCCAGAATAGTTCAAAAGCTTAAATTTCTTGAAGAAACGAGCATATCACGTGCCATAATTTAACAAAAATAAGAACCCATAAATATCTCATCGAAACATATTCAAACCCCATTTTTTCAAAAAAAAAAGTACATAAACAGTAAACATTTTGTTCCAATAAAACCCCTAGAACCTGAGCTTAGTAAAGAACCACCTGTTTTTTCCAGTCTTGAACCTCTCTTCGAACCTCGCCTTAGTTGCCTTACAAGCGGCCACCTTCTTGTCCTTCGTCTGAAGTGCATCGACAGTAACCACATCTTTCAAATCCACGTCGAGGGTGTAGCGCGTAGGCATCAGGTGCTGGTAATTGACGAGCTTGACGAAGCACTTGACGCGTGATTTCTTGGCTGTTTTCTTGGCTGAGTCCTTGCGGATAACCTTGCTCGGATACTTCTTTATCCCTGCAACCAAACAGTGGCCATAGGGGCGGTCACGTGTGCCATCGTCGAAAGATTTAACAATGACGGCTTTGCGACCGGCGTATCGTCCTTGGAGAACGATAACGGCCTTGTTTTGTTTCAGAAACTTCACCATCGTAACGGAAGCGGCGTCGGCTCTGATTCTCTACTCCCAAAAACCCTACGTAAAGAAGGAAAAACGAAAATGAGGTAATATATACCGTGAAACCCTAGCACTTTCGGATTTCTTGTGGGCTTGGGCCGAAGATAGCTATGGTGAGTTTTTTGGTAGATTCTGGCGGGCTTAATCAGATCCAATTATTTTCGTAGATAAGGTGGATTTAGCCCGTCTCGATCCAGGAGCCCTTATATGGCAGCAGGGATACTATAAAAAAACTCGAAGCTCGCCGTCAACACCACCATCGAGTTTCGCCAAGAAATCAGCGGCTATGTTTGCCTCTCTCCTGATGAGTTTGTAATCAATCTGCCAATCTGTATTCAGAAGATCAAAAATAGGATGAACCAAAGCGAGAGGGCTATCAGCAGTTGCCGAGGTAACCATTTGGAAAGTATCCGAGTTATCAGCATGTAGGAGTAAATTACGAAAACCGTTATCCCATGCTAATTGCAGGCCCATTAATATTCCCCAGAGCTCCGTCTGAAATACTGAAGAGGTGCCCTGTTTATGATTAAACCCCATAATGAACAGACCGTCATGAATCCTTAGAAGACCACCGACAGAACTACTGTTAATCACGTTCACTGCACCATCAGTGTTTAAGCAGAAGCAACCAAGAGGAGGTGGCTCCTATTAAACTTTGAGAGCATGGGTGAAGATAAAGATTGAGTGCACCCGAATTGTATATAGTCACTCTGAGAAGACCTTGATAGAACAAAGTTTCAATGGAATGGCTGATATTAATTGTTATGCATTTATATTAATCATAATTTTTTAATTTAAATAATCCTATCATAATCACCAAAATCACATAGCCCGAATTGTACCCTCTTCCCAAGATATTGCTCCTGAACTCAATAAAAACACGTAGCCCGAAGTGCTCTTCCTATCATCCAAAATCACCAGCATAATCACTATCCGTATAAGCAATCAAACCATCTTCTTCTCACTTCCTATAATAAATTCCAAACCCAGTAGTTCCTTGTAAATATCTCAACACTCGCTTTGCCTCCTACAGATGCAACTCAGTAGGATTCTCCATGTATCGACTAATCAAATTCACTACAAACATTATATCTGGGCGAGTTGCCGTGAGATACATCAGGCTACCCACAATTTGTTTGTAATAGGTCTTGTCCACCTTAACTCCATCTTCATCCTTCATAAGCTTAATGCCAGGAACAATTGGATTACGCACGAAATTACAGTTGTCCATTCCAAGTTTGTGTAGAAGTTCTGATGCGTACTTCTGATTCACAAAAAAACAGTCTGATTTCTGCAACACTTCAAGACCAAGAAAATACCTTAATTTTCCAAAGATCAATCGTATCAAATTCATTCTTCATTGAGGCTTTGAATTCTGCAATCATCAATTCATTATTTCCAGTAAATATATGATAATCAACATAGAGATTAACAATAAAAAATTTCCTTTGTCCTTTGTTTTTACAAACAAGGTATGCTCATAGTCACATTTCTCAAAACCTTCATTGATAAAATAAGCTTCAATGCGACTGTACTAAGCACGTGGTGCTTGTTTAAGTCCATAAAGTGCCTTTTTTAGCTTATAAACCTTGTGCTCATTTTTTTTTCCACATAACCAAGAGGTTGCTCAATAAAAACATTTTCATTCAACTCACCATGCAAAAAAGCAGATTTCACTTCTAGTTGATAGAGGGTCCATCCCTTTTGAGCGGCAAGTGCGATAATCAATCGAATTGTCTCCATAAGTGCTACAAGTGCAAATGCCTCCTTGTAGTCCACTCCATGTTGCTGAGCGTAACCCTTCACAACAAGTTGAGCCTTGTATTTATTTGCCTCCCCATTTTCATCAATCCTGGTCTTATAAACCCACTTCACTCCCACCTTCTTCGCACCTTGTGGTAAGTCCACCATTTTCCATGTATTGTTTCGTTCTATTGCTTCTATTTCAACATCCATTGCTTTTCTCCATTTCTCAAGTTTTACTGCATCTGCAAAATGACAGGATCAGCAGTCGCAAATAAAACGAAATGAGATGCATTCTCTTCTTCAGATAGTCCTTCTCCTGATACATAATCTCTCATTCAAAACGGTGGCATTCTATTTCTCTCTTCCTCGTAACTATCTTCACTTAAGAAGATGAAGAATTTTCTTAATCAACATGAACACCAGTGGCATCCCCATCTTCAACATCAACTGCACCCTCATCTTCTTCTAAGGATGTTCCGTCATTTGTTTCATCACTCCATTCCAGAT